TGATAATTTATAATAATTTTAGACATGGATGAAGATGTGATCATAGCCTTGGAGATGGTCGAAATAATTATCATTATAATCGTAATGACCATAATATTACATCTCACCACCGAAGTGGATAACTATGAAAAAAGAAGAAGATAAAGTCGGTATTCTAAAAAATAAATATTATAAATATGGAATGAATGAATATTGGTCGTGTACCTATCGTACACCAAAGCACCTCATTGAGCCTTGTCAAACCTTATTGAAAAATAAAAAGTAAAATGTGAAGGCCACTTTTATATATCAAAGTAATAGTAATTGAAATTAATTACTTGTTAGTTTTTTTATTTATAAATAAAATATTTTATATTTCTTATAATTTATATCGTATAGTGATGATTACAAATTTATTTTATTATTTATTTATTTATGTTTATAAGGAATTTATTTATTATTTATTTTGTATTGATTTATTTGATTATTTATTTTATGTTAATATTATAGATGATAATATCAATCTAATAGAAAGCTCTAGAAGAGCGACTATATTATTATCTAAATAGATAGATTTTCAAGGCTCTAGAAGAGCGATTATATCATGACTTGAAGAGGTAAATTTTTGAAGCTCTAAAAGAGTGAATAAATTATTACTTAAAGAGAAAATGTTTAAAGGCTCTAGAAAAGTTGATATATTATTACTTGAAGTGATTAATTTAAAGGCTCCGGAAGAGCAAATATGTTATTATCCGAAAGGATAAATTTATTATGAATGATGTACTATTCTTTTCAAAGTCTCATAGAAATTTGTTGAGTTTCAAAGATTTTCATCCGAATTGATATCATATCAAGATAGCAAATATGAAGACTTATATGTTATAATCATTATATCGAGTAGAAAATATCTATCAAAAAAGTTTTATCCGTTTTCTCTTCTAGTCTTTATTACAAACATTGAAATGATTGAAACAAATATTATAGTAAACTAGAAGTTTACTAATTCAAATACTTTTACTATATGACATGACCGGTTATGTTATCTTGGGTCTTTCATGATGTAAAAAAATTATTAAAAAAATTTATATGAATATCTTTTGAAGAGCCGGAAGATTCTTCAATTTAATGAACTTTCATGTTTTGCATGTTCCCAAGGCAAATTGATGGTTGAGCCATCATCAAGTAAAATTGAGATTGAATCTCTATTATTTTAGAATGTATTCAAGGTGATATATGTGGATCAATTCATTCACTATGTGAACCATTTAAATATTTTATAATTTTGATAAATGCATCCACAAGATGATCACATATATACTTATTATCTATTCGAAACTCGACGTTTTCGAGATTGCTAGCAAATAATTTGATTTCGAGCATAATTTTCAAATTATGCCATTAACATAAGTCACCTTGATAATGCTAATGAATTTATTTCTCAAGCATTAAATTATTATTGATTAGCTATTAAAATAAAGGTTGAACATCTTATTGCTCATGTTCTTACTCAAAAAGGTTTAGCAAAATTTATCAAAAGGCTCCAATTGATAGCTAAACCATTATTTAAAAATAAAACTCCCTGTTTATGTTTAGAGACATGCAATTTTACATGCATCAACACTTATTCACATATGACTCATAAGTTATCGAAATTCTCTCCTCTTCGGTTGATTTATGGTAATGAGTCAAATATTTCTTATTTAAGAATTTTTTAGCATTGTAGTGTATATCCTTAGTGCTCCTTCATAAGGAAATAAAATGGGTACTTAAAGGAGATTGAGAATATATATTGAATTTGAATCCTTTTTGATAATTAAATATATTGAATCATGAATAAATGATATTTTTACAGACTTGATTTATCGATTGTCATTTTGATGAAATAGTTTTTCCAACATTAGGGGAGAGAACAAACAAAATAAGTAGTTAAAAATGTTGAAACAAGAAATTATACGGAGTACTCTATCTTTATATCAATTTGGTATAAAACAATGTGAACTAGAAGTTCACAAGATAATTCATTTACATGGTATTATAAACCAACTACTAGATGTATTCTCATATCCTAAAATAGTAAATAAAATGCATGTCCTCGTTGAGAATGCTTCTATTAGAATTGATGTCCTAAAAGAACAATCTATTAATATTATAGCTAACGAATTTAAAGCATGCCTAAAGCGTGGAAGACTGATCGGTTCTAAAGATAAAAATCCCTAAAAGAAAAGGACAAGATGAAAATATTCACAAAACGGTCCAATATATTTTTGATAATAGGCTTCCGGAAGAAGTCCAAATACTTGAGAAAAATCAAGAAATTTTGATAAATTATGTCAATACGGGGAGAAAATAGGACCGAAGAGAAATGTTTATTGATAAGATTTTTGTATGTAAAGTTACAATTGATATTTTAAATGAAAATAAGGATCCCGAGCCTAAATTATTGAAGAATGTTGATATAAAGATGATTGGCCTAAATGAAAAGAGCAATCCGAGCGGAATTATGTTCTCCTACAAAAGAGTAGTTTTTTGAACCCATAGCTAAAACACCCGAAGATGTTAGGCTGGTGGGATACAAATAAGTATTTATGCAAACACGAAATAATAAAGATGAGATTGTAAGATATAAAGATGAGATTATTGAAGAATGTTGATATAAAGATGATTGGCCTAAATGAAAAGAGCAATCCAGTGCGAATTATGTTCTTCTACAAAAGAGTAGTTTTTTGAACCCATAGCTAAAACACCCGAAGATGTTAGGTCTGGTGGGATACAAATAAGTATTTATGCAAACACGAAATAAGAAAGATGAGATTGTAAGATATAAAGAAAAACTTTTAACATAAGAGTTTTTGCAAAGAACTGACATTGACTATGAGGAGACATATTCTCCTATAATGGATGCAATTTGTATTTTATTATCTCATTAGCTCTGGCAAAATATATGAAAAATATTCATAGGCATGTATTTAATGAATGCGATCACAATTTATTTGTTCATTTGAGATGAATCGGTATGAAAGTCCTAGAAGGACTTAATATGCCGAAGCATTTAATATATATTCTCGAGATAAGAATTCAATTACATAATAAAGATCTCTATTAGGATTATTTTAGTATTTTATTTTTAGAAATTCAATTTATACTTTTTATATTTTATTTTTATATCTACTCGTTTATTACTAACCCACATGCATGTGATATAATCACTTCAATGATTATTTATTGAAAGAAAGTAATAAAAAATAACCATATTTATTCATATGTTTTTATTTAAAAAGGAGTTTATTATATATGTTGATAACTTAAATATTATTGGAACTCCCGAAGAGATTTCAAGTGTCATAAGTTATCTAAAAAGAGAATTTGATGTGAATACCTTAAGAAAACAAAATGTTATCTCGACTTGCGGTTCGAGCACTCGGAAAATAAGATTTTTATTCATCGGTTAATTTGTATAGAAAAAGTTCTACAATGATTCTATATAAAGATCATTCATTGACTAGCCCAATGGTAGTTCATTCACTTGATATCTAAAAATATTTTTTTGCGACCTCGAGAAGATAACAAAGAACTACTTGGTCCTGAAGTACCATGTCTTAGTGCCATCGATGCATTGATATATCTTGCTAATAATACTCGACTCGATATAGTCTTTTCTATAAATTTATTGGCAAGTCATAGTTTCGTTTCAATATAGAGATATTGAAATAAAGTTAAATATATACTACGTTATCTTCGAAGAATAATTGATATGGGTTTATATTATTCCAATAAATCAAAGACAAGATTAATTGGTTATGCGGATGCGGAGTTATTTATCTCATATACACAAAGCTCGATCACAACTGGTTATATATTTACATATGGAGATCTAGCTATATCTTTGTGTTTTATAAAGTAAACTATAGCTGCCACATCTTCAAATTATGTAGAAATATCAATTCACGACGCAAGTCGAGAATGTGTTTGGCTAAGATCAACGATCCATCGTATCCGAGAGACATGTAGTTTATCTACCGGTAAAAGAAGTTCCAACAATATCATATGAGGATAATGTTGCTTGTATAATTCCACTGAAGGAAGAATACATCAAAGTGACAATCCAACAGATTTATTGCTAAAGTGTTACCTACCACAACTTTTGAGAAGATGATTCACAAGATTGGAATACGTCGTCTTCAAGATCTTAAATAATGATTTCAATAGGGGAGACCAAAATTGAGATTGATGTATGCAAGGAATACTCGTACTCTTTTTCATTCACTAGGATTTTTTTCCACTTGGGTTTTTTCCTAGTAAGGTTTTAACGAGGCATGTTCCTTGTACAATAGACATTCGAGGGAGAGTGTTATGAAATAATGAATGTCCATCATCATACTCATCCATTTTTCATATCCCCACTACTCATTATTCTTAATATGATTCAATTCATCATTCACTATGAGAAATTGAAAGGGTAATTCAATTGATTATTCATACTTCCTTTCAATTCTCTCTTTAATTTTGAAGCCTATAAATAGGTTTGATTGTTCATTAGTTAGTGTACAAGTTTCTTAGAGATAATAAGAGAAACTTTGAAATTCTTATAATTTATATTCATATTATAATGATTTTATTTTATTATCATTTTTTTCTTTAATTCTCCTATTATTTCTATTTATTTTATAACAAATTTTAAGTTTAAATATCTTTTGTTTTAAGTTATTGTCAATGCAATCCTATGACCCAACTAGTTAAGAGTACGTGACTTCCTACCAAGAATTTCTAAACCTATTAAAGTTGGTTTAATTTTTTGTTTTTTTAATAATATAAATATCAAAAGCATCATTAGAATTATAAGTAATTTATTCAACGAAGTTGACGGACTAGTTATAATAATGATACACACTCATGAAGCACAAAGACTAATCCAGTCAAGTTGGTCCCAAGCGTACAACTTTCAGAACAAACAAACTGGATAAGCAAATTCAAAAACATCTAAAAACTCGAATCTTCCACTCTGTCACAGAAATCTCTTACCAATGGATTCTCTTGGACTTCCCTCTCTCAGTGCTCACAAACTCTCACATTTTAACTTGCAAAAAGAACAAAGCACAAAATTGTTTTCAAAATTGCGTCACTTCAACTCTTCAGTGTCACCCTCTTTGAAACTCAGTCCAACCTATACAACTCAACGTTTAGTAAGTCAAGGTTCAATCGTTTTTGATTTCTGGTTTCTTATATATGGGTTGTCAAATAGTTGTCTTTTTTTTTTTTTTAATTAGCGAAGGAGTATGATACAAATGCAAGCTGTTGATGGAGACTTTGAACTGAAGCAAGCGAGAGACATGGCAGCAGCCAAGAAAAGATGGGATGCTCTGGTATTATTCAAAACATCTTGGTTTGGTTGTTTGTTATCATAGTATGATGGTAATGGTTTCAATAAGGAAAAACATGAATCTTGGATTCAATTCTTGTATCATTATCTCAATTATTGAGAAAAAATTGATTCTGTTGCTTCGATTATGTAGATAGACCTTTTAAATTCAAGTAATGTGCTTTGGGCTTTTAATTTTTGATAAATGTCAGTGTTTTGTTATGTGTAGATTAGGGAAGGAAAGGTAAAGATTCTTACACCAAGGGAAGCTGGGTATGCAATTCAACTTTCTAAAAAACCTCTACTGGATGTTCGTCCCTCCTTGGAACGGAAAAAGGTACAACCCCATTTTTTAAACCCAAAATCTGGATCTTCTATTTGCTTCGCTAACTAGTTCTTTATGCCACAACTTTTATTTGCTGAATAACTAGTATTTCTAACAGTACATTTTGCAATAGCCAAGAACTATATCTGTTAGTATCATTGAAAGCATTATATTGTAGTGTTGCAATGTAGAAGTCGCTCTTAGGTGTTTGATGTTTGATCATATTCTTCCATTATTGATTCATGTGTTGCTTGTTCTTGAACAAACTGGTAATTGGATCTTTTTATTTTTTTCCCCCCTTATCCCATTTCTATTTATCGGGAATTTTTATCTTGCTTAATAACTATTTGGATGTTAGCTTCTATTTCATCATTGAACTAATGATTTTTAGCCTGTTTGAAGGCATGGGTTAAAGGCTCGACTTGGATTCCAATATTTGAAGTTGATGATAATTTTGATGCTGGAACTGTTGCAAGGAAGATTACAAATTTTGTGATGGGTATCTTACGATCCTTCCCTCATATATTTCAGTTTTCATAGATATTATGATTCCATATCAGTACCAGCTTGACATCATGTGTTATCACATTTAGTGGGCCACCTGAACAGCAATGTATTACATTATATGATTGTTATTGAGGCATCACAGATGAAAAAAATAATAATAAGAAGAAGAATGTTCCTTGGGCATGGTAGAGTTATCTTAAATGGCTTGTGTTTTTGTAGGAGGTTGGTGGAGTGGTGTGCCTACATTGTCTTATGATAAGTATGTGTTGAATATTGCCATTCCCCTGCCCCCCTAAATTACGTGATTTTACCTTTTTGTCTGCTTAAAAAATGAGTTCCGTATTCGTTTGTTTCTTCTTGAACCAGGCAGTTCCTATCAAAGGTCGAGGAGAAGTTTCCAAAAGATGCAGACCTTATTGTTGCATGCCAGAGAGGATTGAGGTGCACTCTTACTTTAATATGACCACAACTGCAGATAGCAATCTATCAATATGCATTTATAGGAGTGAATTTGCCATTTTGTGTTTGCACCGATTCTTATAATTCCAGAAAAATCATTTTGTTTCAGTTACATGTCAAGCTAGGTTGTTATAAAATATGTGGACAGAAAAATGTAATTTCTCACCATCAGTCGGACATGCTACTGTTTAGTTGGTAGTGTTTGATCTGATGTAAGTAAGATGCATATGATAACACTCAAATCTTTCAATCTGATTGATGTCTTGGACTTGAACTTGATAGCATGTTCTGCAATAATTTTATT